AACTGCAAGGACTCGTCCAAGCAGTCACTGCAGAGTCGGTAACGACTGAGCGCAGATTAAAGAAAAAAAATAGCAAATAACAACTTACAGCAATAACTTCTCCATTTGATTGTTACATAGTCCCAAATAAAACCAATACATTCTGTGTTCAGGCAGATATTAAGAGTGGAATGGGGCAGTGAATGGCTTAAATGAAGAAAGATATAAAGTCATGTCCACATTTGTTGTGGTTCACAGCAACTCAGGAGGTCATTATGATTGTTTAGTGGAAGGCAATTGTTATACCACTTGAGGAGGAAAAAAAACTTAGTTCAGTAGCCTATGTTCTAAACAGTTACAGTTAATCTGTAAACATATAATACATGCAGACATCAGTAAGCAATTTGTTTCATTACATTAACTCATTCAAATTAAATACTCAAGGGGTGGCTATTAAACATATCACTTTGTAACCTGAGGCTTTTGATGGATGAAACCTTATACCTATTAGATTGAATTTCCCCAATCTGATGCTCTCCATATGTTCTGCCAGTTGCAGATTATGGAGCTGAAGTCTAATACATCTGGAAAACACCAGATTGGAGAAAGCAGAATTAGAAATTTAACAAAGGAAACAGGATGACTGTAGGGAGTCACACAACACTTGAAGAACCATCTTGCTTCCATCAAAAGTCTAGCTGGGAGTAAAGGGATGAGGGATTTTTTGTAATAGCATTCACACTGTGGAATTTTCTTATTCAAAGGATCTGCCTAGGCTAGGGATCTTTTGCAGCCCCCAGAGCACCCCTAGAGTGTGCATGGCCAAAATATTCAGCTCAGAGTTGGGGAAATTATAGGCAAAGTCAGTACGTTAAGCCTAGTAAAGGTTGTTCTTCGAGGAAAAAAATAGATCAACAATTTTATTTTTCCCTGATAAAGTTATGTCATGTCTCCACTGGCTAGTCTCCTGAGGCCTTTCAGAGGTTAAATAAATTTGAAATTAAAAAATCTGCACCCTGTCCTAACCCATTTTCATAATCAGATTAAGCTATTTTACCATGATGGACTTGGTTAACTGTTGGTTTCTATAAACTCTCAAATTAAGTTTTTAAATTATTTTGATGGTATTATACTAAGCATTGATGTATTATGATTTTAATTATGTTGACTGGGAACCACCTTGGGCATTGCTATTGGCAACTGGAAATCATACTCTAGTAAGACAAATAATATAATGTATAATTACTGTATTTATTTACAATCATCTAAATAATGCACTTAAAGTGGTTTTTGCTCCTGTTTATCATGTACTTCATGTTGTTTTTCAGTACAACTTTGTCTTTTTCCAAATCAAATTGTGAAGGAAGATGTATCCTTCTAATTCCAGTTAAGTAAATATAACAACACATACTATTTTAAATCAGAAAAAATTCTCAAAGCAAATGCTAAAAATGTCTTACCTTGACAAAAAGTAGCATTAATTCTCTTGTAACCTTGTGGACAATCCACTACTGGGCTATATCCAAAATAAGCTAAATTTGAAAGAAAGCAAAATAGAAAAACAAAAATGACCCACTTGTAATCATCCAAATCTTTTAAAGTACAATTCAAAGCTGCTCAGAACATAATTTGCCATGATAGTGGCATTAGACAATGAGAGTTAAAAATCACTTTTAAACCAGGGATGGGCACTTTTTCAGTCCAACTGGTCGTATGTCATCCTGGATTGAGATTTTCACATGTCTGCTACCACAGGCCTATGCTTACATGCCCATACAGAAATCCTCTCTCCTTAACCGCAATCTCAGTTGCACTGTGATACGTTAAAACATCCTTCAATCATCAGCCCAGTTTTTCAGATCCCTTTGATTTACTACTGTTCTAGCCATTGTCACAAGTAAAAAGTACTTTTCTTGCAAGGCCCAACCACCTCTGCATCAATTCTCCTCAGTGCAGAAGCAATGAAAACAAGGGAATACAGTACACTGAATAAACAAAATAATTAGCAAACACCAGGGCCAAATTGGAAATTTTTAGCACTGTATAGCTGCACTATAGAGAGATGAATTACCCCTGGCAACCCCCAAATACTGGAATAAGTCCCCTATATTTAAGTCCTGATTTGAAGTACAGGTAGTCCCCAGTTTAAGAATGAGTTCTGTTCCCAAGGTCTGTTCTTAAGTTGAATTTGTATGTAAGCCAGAAACAGTATAGGTAGTATTGTGTAATGAACTCAAACCATTGTGTATTTAATTCGAATCACTGTGTATTTAACTCGAATTTTGCTACAATAGGCTCCATTCTTAATCATGGGTTGTCTGTAACCTGGGCGGTTCTTCACCTGGGGACTACCTGTATTCATGTTAGGGAGCAAAGTTATGCTATAATCTTCTGTTGCAATGCCCATTTATTTATTTATCTTATTGCCACTTTTCATAAATACATTTCTCTGAGTGTTCAACCTCTATAACATTTGAACTTATTACAGATTTCCATTTCAACACTACCACACTATTTTTTTAAGGGTTGAACCTCTCATATAAAAGGTTATATTTAAATATATAGCTTAAATACTGTTGCTGCTGCTAATTTGCTTTTGGGAACCACTTGGTCCCAAATTGGCATTAAAAATATTTCAGTCTTTCAAAGCAGCAGGATTCAGGATGCTAAAAGCCACTTCAAAAGCCACAAAAAGCCTACTTTCATCCAACATCTATTACTATCTATCGAGTAATACCCCTTTGGTTGAGAAAAATGTCAAATTATTATGGGAACAAAGTGACTCTGGAATCAGTTTCCTGTGAATGAGTCAAACACCAGCTAAATGTCAAAAGTCTGAATATCCTGTTTAGCTTCTTCCTTTTTCTTATGGACTGTTGGGGATCTAAGGTGGGATAAGTACATCATTTCTGTTTTTCTACAAAATTAGTAGGCCTGTGAATGCTTTCTTCTTCTTCCCCCCCCCCCCCCCAGAGTGCAAAATAGAAGAAAACATATTTTTAAAAGCTTACCTGGTTTCTTTGGACATTTTTGGCACTTGTTAAAACCCCAGGAAGTCCCTACGGTCCCACAGCAATCTTCTTGCTTGGAGAGGCCAGGAAGTGCTTTGCTACACTGGAAAATGATGAAAAAACTCAGGTTAGTCTTGCTGAAAGACAGATGACTTCTTCCATGCTGCTATTTCAGGGTCACCCAGGGCCAGATGGCCCTTAAGATTCACCAGAGCCTGCACAAGAATTTAAAGACTTCTGCTTCAGGTCTTCTGTTTTTCCAGTGTGGACTAGTATTTTACCTATAGTACACCTCTCAAAAAGCTTTTGCAAATTAGTCTTAATTATTACTAAGGCTGCACAAGAGTTCTTATCCATGGTCCTGTTCTGTGCTCCAATTTTGTTTTCATGTTAGAACCACATCAGCCATTTGCCTTCTCCATGCATGCCTGACCTTGAAATGATGTTGCACATGAGGCAAAATTCTTGCATCATTGTAACTGTGTATGTACTGCCCCTTATTAAGGACAATCAATCTGATGAGTTGTGGAAGCAGAATGAATTGTGGGTTGAAGAAATATGATTATGAGTCAGAGTGAATGAAAGATCTTCAGTTTTTCAGTATGAGTATTTTACCTATATAACCCAAAAAGTTCTTGCAGCTTTGACAATGGGAAGGTAATTTATGGTTAGGCCATGTTGAGTTCCTGTTATAGTAAATGAAACACATGACTATTCTGTCTCCTACAATCCTTATTTAATGATGTGAGCAATGCAGGAGATAGCCAAAAGAAAATGTTCATCATAATCAGTATTGTATTACTTATTGTTTTTATTTCCTAATTATTTTGTTGGTTTTTCTGTCTGGTTATAATTCTACTGCATTTTTTTATGCACTTACTGCTGTAAACCACAACTATCATCAGCTGCATGATTCAACAGTCAACAAATACACTAAATAAATAATCTCATTTGCTGCATCAGCCCATAATGAAACAATTGTGTACAGAGGGATAGCAAGCTTTCCCAGTTCAGCATCACATTCTATTAGCAGTAATCTGTCATGGCTGCCTATCTTTGGTGGTCGACTGAGGGGTTCAGCAAGCAGAAGTGATGTCCAGAGCTGTAAATGGATAGGTACACCTATTCTCTCTTTCTTTTTCTCTCTCTCGTTTCTCCTTCTCTTTCTGCTACCTTCTTCTCTCATTCTTCCTCCTCATTCAGAAGCAACAACAGATTGCTCTTGCCAGAAGCCTGAACTACTTAGTTGTAGAGGGCCTTGGAATTTTAGGCCAAGGGCCACAAGTTGCCACTCCTAATAGACACCTTCTGCTACAGGTGAATTCAGTTCCAAATGACATTTGAAATAGCATACCAGAAGCCAATGAGGCAACAGCCAACACTCTGAAACATAAGAAAAACAACCAAAACGGCATCAGGAGCCACTGGAATTTCTACATAGAGAAAGAAAAACCAGCCTTGTATAGGAGGCAGATTTTTAAGAAGATGCATATCCCTCAGATACATGATTGTAAGTACTGTTCAGACGAATCCTGGGCCAAATGCTAAGGAAAATGTTAACTATTGTCAAGAAGATTGCTGGGTATTAGGAAGCACTGCCAGCTGTCCTGGTACAGGAAGGAGCAGGAATCCTCCTAGGTTATAGGACAGGTGAGAGTTAGGAACACTTCCAGGTCAACAGTTTTTCTTGCATGTCCGTAAATATACAAGCCTTTCCTTCCAGCATCCATAGAATGAACCAGCCCTGGATAGACTTGATTCAATTAATTTTAATTAATTTTTCTTGTGAAAAATATGAAATTAAGTCATAGGTGCATAAAAACCTAAGCACCTACAGTATTTATTCTTCTTTATAGCAACAACTCAAACATTTCCTTATAAAAGTATATAATGCTTTTCTTCATTGTTCTTATAAGGAGAAAATAGTGCTAGTATAATATCTTCTCTGTCAGCCCCTATATTACATTTATAAAAAAATGTTTCTAGTTACTCATCTCACTGCCAAGTTTATGCTCTGTTTATTGCTGGAACTGCACAGATAGACACACCCTTTCCTCTCTCTGGATAACTTACATGTAGAGCTGAAACAGACCTAAAAATTCAGTTTTGAATTAACCACCACAAATTTGTAACATAAACATTCAAGAAGTATCTGTTCTTGGGTTTTTTTAAGAAATACAAACCTATTAGTCAAAAATGTTAACTATTATCACAGAAGTCAACTTTCACTCCCAGTTTTTCAATGTCTCAAACAATGCAAGTTCAAAAATTAGCCATTAAAACATAAATTAGAGGCAACATATTAACTATAGGCCAATTATATTACACATATGGGATGACTGAATATTGACTTCCAATGATGATTTATTTATTTAAAAAATGCTGCTGTTTTAACAAGTCAGAAGCAATAAGATAGAACTGATATAAAAGCAGTATTTGAATGTTTCCATTCTACTAGATTCAACTTTCCATACATACTCTTCAAAATTTAAAAACTGATCAAATATATAAAGATCATAAAATTCCAAAAAGCTTTCCAAACATTTAATGCTCCAAAACATAAGTAGTTTTAAAATCTTGACCTAAAGGGTTGCAAATCCTTTTACAGATTAATTTTTTAAAATTTATATTTATTTATATATCAAATTTCATTGAGAGAGAAAGAGAGAGAGAGAGAGAGAGAGAGAGAGAGAGAGAGAGAGAGAGAGATCACCCATCTCATTAAAAAGCAACTCTGGGCAGTTTACAGAGAAAAATTAATCAATAGCTGATTTTAATAGCTGATTAAAGATATAGCCAGATTTGTAGATGATACCAATTATTCAGCATGGAATAACAGATTAGAAGAAAACCAAATAAAACAATGGCAACAATTAAATCAATATAAGTAATTCAAAGTAAAACAAATTAAAGAAAATATTAACAAACTATTCAACCAAGCACTCTTTGGAAAAGTTCCATCTTCAGTAACTTCAGGAATGTTAAATGGGATGGAACAAGCCTTAATTCTAAGAGGAACGTATTCCACAAGACTGAAGCAGCAACTGAGAGATAATACCTCCTGGTATTGCTCCCTCCTATTCTCCTTACTTCATGAAGGTTAGATTTGACCAAAAGCTTCTCCTGGGAAGAACATACTGGATAGCGTGATTCAGGTAGGAGTAGATGATCTTATAGGTATGTAGGTGCCAAGTCATAAAGGGTTTTATATGTCAAAACCAGCACCAATGTACCTAAAAAACATTAGTAATTAGTGTAGGGCCAAATGTGCTTTTGGTGGGTAATACCCACTGCTAGATTTTGCAACAATTGCAATTTCTGGAAGATAAGAAGTTCCTTAGAAGCCTTTCATCTGCAGCTTGGGAAACCATCACCCTCTAGGACTTTTTCTTTTTTGGTAATGTTTGGTACAGTTTTTATGTCTTTTGTAATTTTATATGTATTTATTATTTTAATGGATCATGTGAGCTGCCCAGAGTCCCCCATTAGGGGGAGGTGGGCGGAGATAAATTTAATGAATGAATGAATGAATGAATAAGATCTTCAAAGGCAGCCCCATATAGCATGCATTGCAAAGCCTACTTGAGAAGTGATGAGAGCATGTCACTATTGTGAGACTGTTCTGATCCAGGCAGGGCCATAACTATCAGCTAAAATTGGGCAAAAGCCCTCTTAGTCACAGTCCCCACCTGGCCACTCAGAAAAAGCTGAGAGCCCAGAATGACTCCGAAATTATGGACTTGCCTCTCCCAGGGGGCAACACAACTCCACTGAGATACAACGCTGGAACTGATTAAGAATCTTGACGGACAAACAGTAATTCTGCCTTGCTTGGATTCAATTTTGATTTGTTTTTTCCCCATCTAGGCCCCTATAGCCTCCAGACATTGGGATAAAACTTCCAGTGATACTGCACCCCAAACAGATTGTTGACTTTTCCCCAGAAATTTCATGTAAATGTTAAACAACAGGGGAAAAGAAACAACCCCTGGGGTATGCCACATATGACAGGCCATGGAGCTGACCTTTCCTCCCCATCACTACTGACTGCAACCTTCTGCTAATGCAGGAGTAGAACCATGGTCATACACATCTTCCCAATCCCAGCCCAACAGGTGGTCCAGACAGATACCTTTACAATATCAAAAGCAGGGCCAGAATGGGTGCACTACCTTTGTCTAGGTCCAGACAAAGATAATTCACCAGTGTGACCAATGCTATTTCCATTCTATGCCCATGCCTGAATACTGACTGAGAGGGGCCTAGATAACCCATTTTCTCTAGGGTACTCTGTAGCAGAATTCCCACAACCCTGTCAACTGGACAATAGTTATGGATGGATCCAGGGAGGGCTTCTTTAGGAAGAGTTGCACGACACCCTCTTTCAGGATTGCAGGCATCATCTTCTCTCCTAAAGAGGTCTGACAATCTCCCACTAACTAGGCCTCTACCAGTTTAAATGGATTTAAAATGGCTTGTTTCAGTCCATTTTGTTCTAAGGCATCCATTTTAGTATGTGTAATTTCAATTTTACCTATTTCAAATTTTTCTCTGATTCATTAGTTTGCATTCCATGTTGCAAATGTGTGTCTTCTGTTCCCCATAAATCATGGAACTCCTCTTTCACTAATGGCATTATCAATAACCAGACTTTATCCTGGCCACATCATCACCTGTAATGGGGTTGACACCTCCAGATCTACTTATGATATTTTGATGTACTAGGAGCTAGGGGTGTTTCTTTCATACTGGGAGACTTATTATCTGGCACCCAAACTGGATTAAATGTTACATCTACGCCCATACAATTTTCTTAGGAACCATGCACAAGTGGTTTGTCATTCCTTCCTGGATTTTGGAGTTTCTTCTCATAAATTACTTGGCCTCCTTCATAACTACATGACCTCATCCCCATTGTGGATTACTGTTAGCCTCTCCTCTCCCTTTGACTTTACCAGCAAGGGTGACCCCCATCAGAATCTCATTCTGCTATTGGCATCATTCTAAGGGTCACTGAAGCTACTGAGCAATCCTATCATACCAAAGTGGTAACATACAAGCGGTATTTACAGAAGAAATATAATACTGTACTCTAGATATCAA